TAGGAATCAACGTGCAGAACCCTAAGAACAAGAAGTCAGATGCCTGAGGCTAGGCAGAAACTAAGCTGCTGAGCACTGCAAGAGCTGCTTGTATAAGCAGGCAGACACCCATGCAGGCAACTGGGGCCACCTGGAAGCAGTTAGGCTGCTGACAGCCTGGCCCCCCTCAGCTAACCAGGGCCAGCTGGGGGCTGTTCAGCCTGTCTGCTGCCGAGACTTGTGAGGCATTCTTCCCAGTGCACTTGCTATAGTGGCACGGTATCCTGTGAGAGCCCTGTGAAGGGGGGAAGTCAGGGAACAGTTGTTCATAAAGTTTGCAGTCATAGAAACAGGTCAATTCACATAGCACAGCGAGGTGTCAGTGTCCAACCTGCAGCATTCAGCACAAACTACCTTGAAGTTTCTCCTCCCAGTCAAGAGGACACTTGTAAACAAGAGAGTTGGTGGAAGCACGATATGTTAGTAAGCTGGACTGTTACCAGCATTGGTACACAGGCAGAAAAGAGACCATGCAGAGATAGGAGCTTTGGAAAAGCTTAGGGAGAGCTCCAGATCTTCTAGTTTTGGTTTTAGTTTCACCACGGAGTCTTCCGTTAAGACATACTCCACACAGACACAGGCCACTCCTGCCCACAGCAGATAAACCTGGAATACAAATTGATGGAGGTTTTCTTTTTTTTTTTTTTCCCTCCTTCTTCTTTTAGTATTGTAATGGACAAAAATACAGATAGCTTTGTGACCAGGGTCACTGACTTAGAGACCTGAAGAATAGGATATAAGAGACTTTGCCCAGTGCCTGGAATATGCAAGATGATTATTAAAGCAAGTAACTTTAGTACATATAAATGACAAGCTCAGTCATGCTAACCAGGATGAAACTGCAAAGGCTACCACTTTTAATTTGTAGAGAGAAGTAGTTAGCCGTACAGCAGTTCCCAAACTCTGATAGATTGCACACCACCAATTTAAAACAATACAACCTTAAGTACCACCAGCACATTTGTGTCCGTCACAGCGGGTGCCTGCGGGAGGGCCGTGAGCTCTCTGAGGTCCCTCGCACTGTGTCAAGGCTGGCCCAAGGTACCCTCTTATTCTCGCCCGCCACGTCTTGCTGGTAAATATAATAGGGAGGCTACCTTACTCCTCCTTGGGCACGGCTACTCAGGACCTCTGTCCCCGCGGTTTTCCCGGACTCCTGTGGTTTCCCTGTATGATGGGTGCTACTCAGGCACCCCAGCCTTATGGGCTACGCATGACTCCTACCAGCCCCTAATACCACGCCCCAAGCCTCGCAGATGTGATGTACGTATAGAGAGACACACCAACGTCTACTGCCCCCTTCTCTGGGGCCTTCTCTAGTGCTGCCCCCTTCTCTGGAGCCTTCTCTCATAAAGGTGCTCCCCTCTTCGGGGCTCGCCGTGCCCACCTTGGGCTTCCTAAAATGCTGCCCCCTTCTCTAGGGCCTTTTCTAGCGCTGCCCCTCTTCTCTGGGGCCTCCTCTAAAAGTGTTGTCCCACTCAGGGACCCTTGTCCGCTTTAGGACTCTATATCGAGCCTCCGGTCTTTCAGGCCCACCGCGCTGCTTCCCCCTTTCCTGGACGCTGTACTGCTATCCCCTTTTCCTGGGGACCACCGCAGCACCCTGCCCTTCTCTTGGGTTTTCTGAAGTGCTAGCCTGTTACCGGGCTCGTCATGCCCGTCCTGGGCTTCTCACATATTGCCCCTCTCGGGCCTTTCACAATGCTGCCCCCTCTCTGGGGCTGGCTATGCCCACACTGGGCTCCCTGATAGTGCCACCCCCTCTCTGGGGCTCCCTGTGCCCATGCTGGGCTTCTCTAAAGTGCGCTCCCCCCTTCCTGGGGCTCGCTATGCCCACCCTCGGGCTTCCTAGTAGTGCCCCCTCCTGGGGCTCATCGTGCCCGCGCTGGGGCTTCTCAAAACGCCCCTCTCTGGGGCTGGGGTCTACGCACCCTGTAAGTTGCGCCCTTACTGGCACCAGGGTCTTCACACTCTCTTGTGAGTCCCCGATGAGTACTGCGCCCTCACTGGCGCTAGGGCCCCCACACCACTGTGGGTCCCTTTATGAGGATAACATGCCCTCTTGGCACTAGGGCCCCACCCCTCTGGGGTCCCTATGAGGCCGCCTCCAACCCCTTATAGCCTCACCCAAACCACCCGTGTAATACAAACACTAAAGCAAACACCAGCCTCCTGGCTATAACCAAAACACAAGGCACTGGGCCATAACAACATAAGCCTCCTGGCTGTAATTTAACATCATTGCTTCAGCCTCTGGAGCTCTTGTGAGCTATACTTGCTGTTAGGCTTCTCCTTGCATCCTAACTGCAGGAGCTCGAGCTCGAGCTCCTGCTCCTGCTCCTGCTCCTCCCCCCGCTGCTGGCAGGGATCTCCTAGTCTGGCCTTGGCTCTAGGCTTTATAGGAGCCAGGCCCTGCCCCCTCAGGATCAGCTGACTCTCATTAGTTGCCCTGGCAACCTGCAGCTGTGCTCATTATCTCTGCTAAGGCTTTTCCCCAGCAGTTCTCCCCTCGCTAGGAGCCAGGTGCGCTGCAACAGTGTCATATAAAGTAATTTATAAATCTGTTAACGCATATCACTGACAGATTGCCTGTGTACCACTGGTGGGTGGTACCTGTACCACAGATTGGGAACTGCTGGGAGAAGGCAGGGCAGTGTGGCACCTTAGGGCATGTCCCCATGAGTAGGAACAGGCGTTTCCCCAGGGACAAGTAGCAGCAGCACACCTTGTACTTCTGCTACTTGTCCCCAGGGAATGCCCATGACATGTGTCCTCTGGCACACAGCACATTACCCTGGGTGGGGTAGGGGAGGCTGGGGCAAGCAACTGTGCTGGCTCCAGCAGCCTTATCTAGGATCTGGGGGGCCTTGGGGAGCTGTAGCTGCAATGAGCATGCAGCAAGAAGCCAGGCCAGCAGCCAGAATGTAGCTTTGGCTGGCCAGGCTCCAGTTTTGGGTGGCATACACTGCTCCCACATGTGCTGCCCTGCTTTTTTTAGGTGTGGGGTTCTTTTTTACCCCGGGATCTCCAACGCAAGGAATGCCTGCATGTGCAGCATGTGTGATATGTAGCGCCACAGATGGGTCTTCAGCACCACATACTGCATATCTGAATTCATCTGGATTTGCCCTGAGCAACTAACTTATTCAGAGATCCATAAGCTTTTCTAGCCTACTTCAGATGCTATGAATGGACTTGCAGAGAGCAGGGGTACTACATAAAAAGGAGTAAGATAATTTAAAATACAAAGGATAGGGAAAGGGGGAGGAAAGGAGTGGGTGCTACTGAGAGAAATGAGTTGAAGAGATCAAAGGAGATAAACGAAGCAGTTAAACCACTGAGGGACACAGGCTATGAAAGCTAGTCAAAGTAACGGCATAACAATCCAGAGTCTCTGTTGAGACCATACTTAACACAATCCAACCTGTGAATTATTTCTTGTTCTGCAATTTTTGCATTCAGGTTGATTTTTAAAGTTTTGTTATTTAAGAACATTTACTCTGAGGTCAGTGATGGAATAGCCAGGGAGGTTAAAGTGTTCGGCCACTGGCCTTTTTTGGAACTGATGTCAGGTTAACTGTATTTTGAGCCTTGTCTTCATTACTAAAATGTCTGTATGTTGTAAGTAATAAAACCAGTTGAAGGCAAGGCACTTAAATTTTACCACAAAGTAAGCTGGCCAAAGAAAACTCCATGTGAGGGCATATAAAAATAATTAAAAACGGGCCCATAAGGGATCTTGAGACATCATGTAGTCCAGCGTTTCTCAACCTACAGGTCACGATCCAAAAGTGGGTCGCAGCAATGTTTTAAAGGTTTGTGAGCATGTCCCAGAAAAACACAGGAAAGTATGGGTTTCCCCTTGCAGGGTGGCAGCATTCCAGCCTGCTAGGGGCTGTTTGGGGTGATTGGAGGCAGTGGGCACAGATGTATCTGCATGTGCACACACAGACAGGCAGGGTCATGGGAGCA